TTGTGTGACTATAGCTTTCACTTCTTTGGATCAGTATTCAGGGAGTACAGTTTGCTGTGCTGTATACTAAATGTATGTTCAACTTTGTGAGGTTACTATTAAACTGCTTTCCATAGTAGCTATGTGATTTTATAGTCCTACTGGCATTATATTCATAGAGGAGATCTAATTGGTTCAGATCCTGGTAGATGTTTGGTAATATTAGGATTTTGAAACTTTAAACAGTAATTTTGATAGGTGTGTGGAACTGTGGCTTTCATTTATGTCACTATAATGGCCAGTGGTGATATTACACATTTATGTGTTTCTGAGTATTCTTTTGATATCTTCATCTTTTTGTTAAAGTATATGTCTCTAATGTATAATTTTAAATCCATAAACATTTTTATCATTGGATTGCTTGATTGAGATTATTTTTGTTTTCTACTGTTCAGCTTAGGAAATACCTTATGTACTCTGGGGCCAGCATGATGGCTTCTCGGGCTAACGCTCTGCCTACGAACATTGGCATCCCATATGGGTGCTGGTTCATGTCCTGCCTGTTCCACTTCCGCAGTCAAATGCTCTACCCCTGAGCTATATCCCTTGGCCTGCTGTTCTGTTTTCAATCTACCTTCCTGCTTATGGACTGAAAAAGTAGTGAAACATAACTCAGGTCCCTGGTCCCACCCAGAAGAAGCTTCTAACTCCTGATTTAGGATTGACTCAGCTCTGGCCTTTGTGGCCATTTGGGGGAGTGAATCAGAATTAAAGACATCTCTCTGTGTCTCTCCTTTTTCTGTGAAATCTGCCTTTGAAATAAAAATAAATCTTTAAAAAAAAGAAGTACGGTATGTATTCTGGCTACCAGTTCTTTGCCAGATATGTGTTTTCAACTAGGAATATTTCACCTTACTCTGTGACTTGTGATTCTTCTTAACTTCTTTTGCAAAACCACAGTTTAAAATTTTGATTAAATTGGGCCCGGTGGCGTGGCCTAGCGGCTTAAGTCCTCACCTTGAACGTGCCAGGATCCCATATGGGCACTGGTTCTAATCCCGGCAGCTCCACTTCCCATCCAGCTCCCTGCTTGTGGCCTGGGAAAGTAGTCGAGGACGGCCCAAAGCTTTGGGACCCTGCACCCGTGTGGGAGACCCATAAGAAGTTCCTGGCTCCTGGCTTTGGATCGGTGCAGCACCGGCTGTTGTGGTCACTTGGGGAGTGAATCATCGGACAGAAGATCTTCCTCTCTGTCTTTCCTCCTCTTTGTATATCTGACTTTCCAATAAATAAATAAATCTTTAAAAATTTTTTTATTAAATCTCATTTATTTCCATGTATCGATTATACGTTTAGTGTCGTAAGAACTCTGTAACTATCCTTTAAAAAAAGTTATTCATTTGAAAGTCACAGTTATATAGATAGAGAGGGAGAACCAGAGACCTTCTATCCACTGGTTCACTCTTCAGATGACAATGTCTGGGGCTGGAGCACATGGTCTAAAGCCAGGAGCCAGGAGTTTGTTTCTTGTTGCCACATAGGTAGCAGGGACCCAAGCCCTTGGGCCATCATTCTCTGCCTTTCCCAGACTGCATCAGGGAGCTGGGTGCCAACATTGCAGGTGACAGCTGTCATGCTGTGCTGCAACACTGGCCCCTGTACCTAACTCTTAAGTTGTAAGGATTTTTCTTTCTAAAAGTTTTATAGTTTTCCATTTTCCATTTCAATCAGTGATCCATTTGGGATCTATTTTTTTTGTAAGATGTGAGATTTAGTTGTGGTTTTACCTTTTTTATTTGAGACACAGTGATACCCACACACTGAAAGAGAGATTGTATCACTGGTTTATTCCCTAAATGTCCATAATAATGTAATGAGTGGAATGGTCTGGGGCAAAGCCAAGAGATGTGTACTCAACAATGGTCTCCCATGTAAGTGGCAGGAGCTCAATTACTGGAGCCAGATATTAAGCCAAGGATCCAAAAATGATACCTTACTCTTATTGGTTAAACATATGTAAGGGTTTTTTTCGTCTATGACTTCAGTTGTTTATTAATGATTTGTTGAAAAGACTGTTCCTTCATTGAATGATTGTTTTGTATCACTATCAAAAATCAGTTGGGTAGGACCTGACGCGGTAGCCTAGTAGCTAAAATCTTTGCCTTTGCTTGTGCCGGGATCCCATATGGGCACCGGTTCTAATCCTGGTGGTACTGCTTCCCATCCATCTTCCTGTTTGTGGCTGGAAAAGCAGTCAAGGATGGCCCAAAGCCTGGGAAGCCTGCACTTGCGTGGGAGACCTGGAAGAAGCTCCTGGCTTTGGCTTCAGATCAACTCAGCTCTAACCATTGCAATCACTTGGGGAGTAAATCATCAGATAAAAGATTTTCCTCTCTGACTCTCCTCCTCTCTGTATATCTGACTTTCAATAAAAATAAATCTTGAATCATGATGGCAGAATAGGGTAAGGACACGTTTAAATGGATGGTGAAACATTAACCAGTATGAAGCAGAGATGGCACATTCCAGGAAATAGGAGAGGACAGAGCAACAGCAGAGGGGCACCTGGAGACTGACAGACACGGGAAAGCAGTGAAGACAGTGGTGCGGTGTTGCAGTGACTGATACTCCAGCAGCATTCAGCAAATGGCGATCTGAACTCCACCTGCAGCTGGAATTCCACCAGCAACCAGGTGGGAAGGGACTTTCACTGGGAGCTTGGGAGGTGAACCCAAACAAAGAACTGCCCGGACTGCTGGTCTGTTTGATTTGACCAGGAGCAGAGACAGCCCAGATGGGTAGTGCGAGAACAGGGTGGATTTCACAGCCCAGTCAGCCCCCTAGAACCAAATTGGGCGCCATTTTGCCTAGGGAGGCAAAGACAAGGGAAAGGACTGAGCGTACACTGAGATGGGAGCAAACTAATTTATGACTGAGTGAACTGCAACAACGTGGTATCCTACAGGTTCCACCCAAAACAGGTCTTCACCCAACACACATGATAATCAAACTCTCTTCAACCAAACATAAGAAAAAGATCCTTAAATGTGATCATGAAAAAAATCAACTGACATATAAAGGAAGTGTTTTTCTTTTCAGTATTCTAGTTCTTTTGCCTTTCTATATAAAAAATCAGCTTAACTATGTCTACAAAAAAACAAAAAGTAGCTGTTGGGATTTTAGTCCTAAATGTACGGAGCAAGTTGTGGAGAATGTCTTTATTATGTTGAATCATCCAGGAAAGAACATAATGTCTCACTTTTTTTGCAGCCTATTTATATAAATGTGATATGTTTACAGATGAAATTCAATTAACAACGATTTTAATATTTCAGAAGTTGAAAACACCAACAATTACTTTATTGAAAAATTAGCCCAAAAAAGGGCTATTTAGTTTTGGAATTTCTTATAATTGGATTATATGTAAGTTAATGATCAATTTTGCAAGTAAAATATTATTAAATGTATAAAAGAGTTAAATGAGCACATTTATGGAACTACACGTCAGTCCCAACATGAGCTCATCCATATGTAAGGACACTGGGGAATCCTTGTTTATGCATACAGCTTCATCTGCTTGTCCAGCATGGTTAGTCCTCTTCTTAATAGTTTTTTGTTTTTTACACATCAAGTTCTCATTTTTTAAAAGATTTGTTTTGTTTATTAGAAAGAATTACAGAGAGACAGACACAGAGATATCTCCCATCTGATAGTTTACTCTCCAGGTAGCTTCAACAGCTAGGCTGGGCCAGGCTGATGCCAGGAGCCAGGTATTTCTTCTGGGTCTCTCACAATGGTGGCAGGAACCCAGTCACTTGGGCCATCTTCTGCTGCATTTCTCAGGCCAAGAAGCAGGGAGCTGGATTAGATGTGGAGCAGACGGGACTCGAACCAGTGACATATGAGATGTTGGTCTGAGAGGCAGTACCAAGTTGTCTTCTTTAAAAAAAAAAAAAATATATATATATATATATATATATATATTTATTATTGGAAAGGCAGATCAGATTTTTATAGGAAGGAGAGACAAAGAGAAAGGTCTTCCATCAGCTGGTTCACTCCCCAAACAGCTGCAATGGCCAGAGCCGAGCTGAGCCAAAGCCAGGAGCCGCCTCTGGCTTTCTTGTGAATGCAGTTTTGGCAGTCTGTCAGTTTTGGCTTCATGTGTTTGAAAATTAAAATGTTTGATAAATACAGCTTTATGATTGCTTCATCTGCTTGATGCATTGTCTCGTCTGCTTTGGCCAGTGCCCCTCTTTGTTCTTAGTACTTAGCTGTGATGTTTGTTTTGTCTAAATGTTTATTGAATAACTGAGTATTCAGCAGAGAAACTATTTCATAAAGCATGTGTGTGTAAGTTTGAATATAGAAACTGGGAAGTGTTTATGTTAGGATGTTAGAGGTTTTAATGGTCTTTTAAAAGTTCATAAAGAATCAAAGAGAATAGAGAAAAAAAATCCCAAAAAAAACAAAAGAATAAAGAGTTTGTAGAGAATACATATGAATAAAAATCATTTCAAAGTATTTTTGCACCAAAATAACATTTTTTAATTACATTTTTTATAAACTTTTTAAGTCTCAATACACATCCGTTTTCCTTCATAAAAGATATTGACTGTATATAAAAATTCATTTCACGTAACAGAATTTGAACTAGATTTGGCAAATAACATCAGAATTAATATTAACCTATTTTAAAAGGTGTCAGTTTGTTTTTCAATATCATATTTTGTAGTTTTGTGCATCATAATGGAGATGTAAAATCTAAATCATTTTCCTGTGCATTATCTGTTTTTGCTAATTGTGATTTCAGGAATATTTGATTAAAGAATTAGTGCCAAAATGTAAGACCTTTATATTTTCGATAAAGTCCAAAATTAAGGTAAAACAATTCCTATGTTTATAAGTTGTGGTATAATGTAGGATTGCCATATAAGTAAAATCTTCACAATTTCATGCATATCAGAGATTTTTACTGTGCAGTGCTTTTCTCTAGATTTTTAATTTTGTTTTAAATTTAGGGAATCAACATAGTTGGGCCCTGCAAATCAAACCATGGATATTCAATAATTACCGTACCGTGTGGTTCAGATCCTATGGGATGGCCTTTTCCTCTTTAAATAGATGGAAAAGTTCCAGGTGAGTTTATTACTGTGGCAAATATTTACATAATTTTTTCTAATAGTTCTTTAGTTTTGACTGTTTAATAAACCTGCAGAATAATTGCTCATGTGGTTTCGTTAAGGTAAATCTAATTATTAATTTAAATATTCTTAAATAATTTTCTAACAATTTTTATTTTTGCAGTTTCAAGCCCCCAGAAAAGTTGATAAATTAAAAGTGAGGGGTTGTTAGAAAGTTCTCTTTAAGTGAGTACCAAGAAAAAAAAACACTTAGCACCATCCTGTGGTATAGCAGGTAAAGCCAGCACCCAAATGGGATCCCAGTGTGTGTAAGGCAAGGATTTAGCCACTGAACCATCATAGACCAGTCTTTAAAATTACAAAAATTTTCCATAGGACTGAATTTTGAGCTTTTTAAAGTGCCTGCTCTTGTAAATGAAATCCCTTGAGACTGGCACATTTGCACAACCATCTACTGTTATCTACTGTAAATTAGCTGTTGATTGCTGAAACTTTACAGTAAGACTGGGAAAAGAAGATAATTTTTTAAAGGTAATATTAAAGAATGGTGCCTGATTCTTAAAAGATAAAAAGAGTAATGAATATAGAACAGTCTTGATGTATGCTTTTAAAGGTAGAAAAACCATAGACCTTGAGTGATATTGCCTTTCCTAACTTATTTGGGGCTATGGTTGTGATATAGTGTGTTAAGTTGCCACCTGAGTAACCAGCTGCTCCACTTTCAATCAAGCTCCCTGTTAATAATGTGCCTAGGAAGGCAACAGGGGATGGCCCATGTGCTTGGATCCCTGCCACCCATGTGGGAGACCTGGATGAACTTTTATTTATTTAATTTAGAGGCACAGGCTAGAGAGGGAAAGATAAAGATCTTCCTTCTGCTGGGTCATTTTGCAAATGGGCTATGCCTAATGGGAACTCCATTCTGGTCTCCCAGATAGGTGGCTTGGCTGGATCAGAAGCAGAGCAGCTAAAAGTTGAACCAATGCTTTGACATAGGATGATGGCATTGCTAGTGAGAGTCTAACCCACTGCACCAGGATGCCATCCCCCCAGTTACTGAATTCTAAACCAGCTTATTTTCTCTAGCAAGAAAAGACATGTGTATTTATAAGAAAATTTAAAGTATTTGAACATTGGAATCTAATCAATTATAAATAGCATTCTACATAATATATCCCATGATACATTTTCTTTTAAACATTTTCTTGGTTTTTCATTTTCACCTCTTAGGCACCCTAGGATGAAACTTTACAGTGCTTCACAGACCACGGTCGACAGCAGTGAAGTAAAAACCTTCCTGGCCCTGGCTCACAAGTGGTGGGATGAACAAGGAGTATATGGGCCTCTTCATTCTATGAATGACCTGAGAGTGCCATTCATTAGGTAACACACCAGAAACTCTTAAGTCTTAAAATGTATTTCTTCAAGATGTGGCTTTGCATTTATTTTTTCTCCTACTATATATGTAGCTTCAGAATGATACATTTTATGCTCAGAAAATTAGGGAAGATTCTTTTCAGTAGCTCATCATTTCAAGCCATTAGTTTTTAACAGCATCATCCAAGATCTGGAATGCTTTCATAACTTAAACTGAAGCATTTGGAGACATCCCAGGTCAATTAAAATTAAAACCTTAGGCGAGGAAACCAGAGTCCTCAGTCAAAGCCATTTTATAGGTGCTGAGCAGTATGGACCTCATTGATTTTAGGCAGTTCTGATAAAGGAAATACTATGGACACTGTGTGAATTAATATTTTTTCAAGACTTGTCTTGTACAAACGTTGAGGCTAGACTCTGGGAAAGCTTCTAAGATGAATGAAATGTAACCCATGTGCTTCAGGCGCTTACTGTGTGCTGTGAGAGATATAGACAGGATTTCATCAAGGTTTACATAGTGGAGACTGTTCATTTGATCTTCTGGCCATTTATTTATTCAGCAAACATTTTTGGGCAAACTGATGTAAGAGACCCGGAATGTCAGAGACAGACTTGGCTCTCAAGGACATCCTGGCTAGTCTTGGCTGGTTCATGGAGAATCAAAGGGACGATGGGAAAGTATTGAAATCTTTTTACTACCACTGAATTTGTGTATCCCTGAAAGACAAGGCCCTGAAGAAGCAGGAATGCTTTTCTGTTAGGCTGGGTCACCAGTAGCACTTGGAAACTCATTATAAACTCAAAATTTCAGATTCCTGCTGTTTGAAGGTGATTCTGATGAATGTTGGATCTGTACTCAAATTACTGTGACTTTTTATTTGGATATTATATGAAACAGATAGCCAGTACAGTGCGGTCTATGGCTATCAATTTAGCTTTTATTTTTAGCATAAATAGAGGCTGTGAAAGCAAAGGATCAAAAACATTTCAGAACTATTGAAACCACCTGGGCATAGCATGTGGCACAACAGGATCCTGGGTTGATATTGGGTGGCTGTTCCCCACCCCCCCGGGTGCTGGGGGAGTGGGAAGTTGAGTATGACTTCCCCCTGTGACTCCCTCTTACCCCCAGATACAGGAAAAAGAAACAGAAACCTTTTCCCTAACCCTCAGTCCTTCCCACCTGGATTAACTTTTTTTGATCCTTTGCCTTTATTTTCAGTCCATTTATTTTAAAAAATTAAAATAAACAAAATTAAAATAACTAAACTGAAAATAAAAGCGAAGGGTCAAAATTGTGATATAAAGGAGTCATTTCAGCTACATTGAGAAATGTTCTGAATTTCGTTAGAAATAGATCTTTTTTGTGTAATATTCCAAAGTTACCTAGTTAACCATTATCTGTGTTTCCTTTGAATTAAATTTTACTATAAATAAAATTAAAATTCATGTGTATTCCTATTTAACTTGGTATAAAAATACTTCAAACAGAGCTAAAAGATAAGATCATTTTGTTGCAAAAATTATTTGAAATTCATACATAGAAGAAATCATCAAAAAATTCATAGAGAATGTATTATGAAGGAAACTATGCCTGGACTCAATTTTTACATCAAAATAAATAATTTAATTCTATTTTTCATGAACTTTTTGAAGTCTCCTCTTATACAATTATTTTCATCTTTATGTGTGTAAATGTACATTTATGTGCTGTGATAAGGAATTAGTATCTTAGAATTAAGTTAACATGATATGGATGTTTGTTTGCATGCCACTGACCTAGAAGATTAAGAGAGATTCTGTTTAGGGGAAAAAATAGGCAAATTATAAGAATATATGTCTCCCATCTGTTTATTTTAAACCCTTTAAAATAACCTGTCTGTTGCTGACATGAAACTGGTGTAGCAAGTACTGATACCATAGCAGTAGATGTCTGCAGTGTTATAACCTCAAACGGATAAAATTAGCTTATCTAAACTAGTTTATTTTGAAAAGTCTCCTCTCTAGGTTATCACTAAAGGAGTAATCTTTTTAAAAGAGTTATTTTAATTGTTGAGACACAGAGTTACAGAGAGACATGGAGAGAGAGATGGAGAGGGAGGGAGAGAGATCTCTGGCCTCTGGTTCACTCCCCAGATGGCTGGGCTAGGCTGAAGCCAGGAGCTTCATCCAGGTCTCCTATGAGACCTTGGTGGAAAGGGCCCATTGGGTCATCTTTTTTAAAGCAGCAATTAAGGCCCCATTCCTACTAGATTATTTCAGAGTTTTAAACTTTGTTTCAGAATATTGAAAATGTTTTATAATTTTAAAAGTTAATGCTTTAAAAAAAAGTTAATGCTGACATAAGATCTTATATAAAATTATCAATAATCCTATTGAAATGTAGGTAATATTTTCTTGAAAATTGTATGCTTTTAAAACTCTCCATGAATAAAATTAATCACTTGATTTTCTCTATTTTGAATTTTTAAAGAGATAATCTTTTAGAAAGAGTCAGTGATCACGAGCCTGGAAAACCTTTGTCTGGGATGAAGATTCTTGATGTTGGCTGTGGTGGTGGACTGTTAGCTGAAGTAAGTGACTTACAACTTTCATGCTGTTTTTCACCAGGGTAAAAAAATTGAGAAATGGATGCCATCATCAGTAGCACATATGGGCATGATTCCAGACTCGGCTGCTCTACTTCAGTCTCAGCGCCCTGCTGTTGTGCCTGGGAATGTAGCAAAAAATGACTCAAGTATTTGCACGCCTGAACCTGCACGGGAGTCTGGGATTAGCTTTGTATCCTGTCACCAGCCAGACCCCGCCCTGGTTATTGTGGCCATTTGGGGAGTCAACCAGCAGATGAAAGATTTTTTTTCTTTTTTTCTCCTTTCTCTTTCTGCCCCTTCCTTTCTGCTTGTAGTTCTGCCTTTCAAATAAAATAAATCTTTAAAACAAATTGAGAAGTAAGCTTGTGACTCATATCCTTTTCACAAATAATATCATTAATTTTAATAATATATATTTTAATCAGCTTCTTGATTATGAAATTAAAACCGTTTTTAAACAATTAAAAACTTCAGGAAAGTATACAGAAACATGCCTCATTTGAATAGCTTTGAACATTATGTGATCTACTCCAGAAACTGCCTGATTTCTCTTGATATATATGCAGTATAAGACTGTCCTTTGACAGTTACTTCAGTAACAAAACCTCGCCAGGTGTTTTGCCTGCTTCTCCTTTCTTTAGCATCAGAGGGCTTGGAAGAGTGACAGTTTTTTTTTCCTATAAGGAATTTTGCTTTAGCATATAGGAAATAAATGTCTTGGAGCTCTATTTTATATTCTGTTGATAGAGTTTTTTTTTTTTTTTAGTGCCTAATCCTTAAAAGACATTTTAAACCACAATATGGGAAACAAATGGAAGCCGAGGTTCGGTAGGCTGTGGTCTGATCAGGATCTGCAGCCCAGGCACCAGGCGGTGGAGCGCCACAGAGGCCTTGCTTTCATAGCTAAGGACCCACAAGCATAGAGAACGTGTTCCCCTGGCACAGGGCTAGTTTTTGCTGACATCAGTGTGAATAAGATTTGACTGTTACTCATGTGTGGTCTTCAGTTTTCCAGTGTATGAGAGATCTTTCTTAAGTTCCAAGAGGCATATTTGAGAGATTATTTTTTGGTATGGGTGTCAGGATTCAAAAGCTCAATTTTTACTGCGGCCTTTGTACATCAGAATTTTTAGTAAAGGTAGGATTAACTGTGATAATGATGCTTTTGCATTTCTCAAAGCTTTCTCAGGTCAAATTTTGGCGAATTTTTTCTAAAATTTATTTTTTATTTGAAAGGTGGAGTTGGAAAGTGAGACAATCTTCTCTCTGTTAGTTTGCTCTTCCAATGGCCACTTTGACTGAGGAGCTAGACCAGGCTGAAGTCGGGAGTTCAAAGCTGCTTCTGCAGTTCCCAGATGGGGACAGGGGCCCCAGCTTTTGGATCATCTTTTCCCACTTTCCCAGGAGTTTGAAGCATCAGAAACGAAGTAACTAGAACTCAAACTGGCGCCCATGTGTGATAACAGCATTGCAAGCTGCAGCTCAACGTGCTATGCCACAACACCAGCCCTGGGTTTTGGCTAATTTTAAAGCCATGGACCTTTGATGAAAACTGTATGGGTAGAAAAATCAAGGTGGTGTTAATTTTGTGGAGAAGCTTACTCACTGGGTTGGCTCGCTGTCCCTGGGACACAATGTTGGAGTCACTAGCTACTGGTTGGTCTTAACTGCCAACAGACTATGGAAGGAAGGAGGCCAGTATGGCTTAGAGGCCGCCTGTGCAACTGGAGGATGGGGCATGCTATGATGCATGTAAAAACAACACAATGAATAGATATGGAACAGGTGCCCTAAAGTCTGTGTAGCACTCGCATTTGGCCATACCATTTAAGTGCATCATCAAGTGACATCTGTAGTTCCTTGCTCCTATTAGGAAAACTACATTTGTGGCCTTCTGTTTGCTGCTCAGCCTTGCCAGTGTTCTGATATTTTCAGTAATTGCAGCTTACTGCTCCTTCAGAGATGTCCAAGTCATCAGAATCTTACATAGTCCTTGTTTTTGTTCTCTATTTTGTCACTGAAAATTGAATAAGCAATTGCAGTTTGAGCAAGAGGTTAGCCGAGATGTGAAATTATATTTGGTGGCATTTAAGTGTTAGGTGCAAAAGTGGAGGAGTGTTAGGTACAAAAAAGTTCAAGGAAAGTGTGTGTAATGGAAAAAAAAAAAAAACTATGCATGGCTCTCAAAATTTTTGTCCTGAAATAACTTGTTTTTTTAAAGCTCTTTCCATAAACTTTCTAAGTGTACTCATAATTATAGATCTTAATGTCTCTAAAATGAAAGTTATGTGATTTATATTTTAGTTTGAGTATTTTTCAATTTAAAAATACTATGTAAATTTTAGTTAAAATTAATTCTTTGAAAACTTGCATGTAATGGGAAGCAACAAAACATAAAAGCTAAAAGAATTCTTCTAATGGGTCATAAAAGAAATAGAAAAATTATTCACTAGAAGATAAGGACTTTCAGAAATGATTTCTGTTTTAGAATGGATTGTTATCTTTATTACACTTTTAATGAATTGCAGGTGTGTAAATGTATCGAGAAAATAAGACAATTTTTTCTCTATTTTCAAATAGTTATAAATAAGCTTTTTGTAATTGTTTTCTCACTTTTAACTTTTTTATTACAAAAAAATATATAATTTATATTCTAAGTATAGAAGATAGTATATGAACTTCTATGTACCCAGAAATGGACTCTAGTAATTATCACTTCATCATTAACATTGTTTTATTTTTGCTAAGTTTTTCATTGCTAATACATGTTCTACTTTCTTTCTGTGGGTAACTTTTTCTCTCTTTTTTTTGTCATTAGCCTCTAGGCCGGCTTGGGGCTTCAGTTATTGGAATCGATCCTGTAGATGAGAACATTAAAACAGCACAGCACCATAAATCATTTGATCCAGTTCTGGATAAGAGGCTGGAGTACAGAGCATGTTCCCTGGAAGAGATTGTGGAAGAGACTGCAGAAATGTTTGATGCAGTTATAGCATCTGAGGTTGTAGAGCATGTAGTAGACTTAGAAACATTTATACAGTGCTGCTGTCAGGTATTAAAGGTAAGACTAACAGAGTTTACTGGTAGCTTTTCAGTGTGTGCTTGTATCCATGGCAATGATATGCTACATAATATCGTAGCAGTCCAACAGACAAGGTACAGGAGAGAAGAAACTGAATAGCTGGATTAGGGCACAGCCTAAGATAACTCCTTTTTTTTTTATTATTATTATGTTTGTATTTAGCAGTTTATAGTACTCAAGTAAGATTTTACAGAACTTCGTGCATTTTAGGATAGTCAAAACAGACTTATAACTCTAACAAGCCATATATTAACAATTGAAGGATAGAACAGTCTTAGGAGGGGTGTGCAGAGGAATCTCCAATAACTTAGCAAGTGAGGAATAACTGAACTCTGCATCCTACCTAGTGAGGTCTAGGAAAAGCCAAGCTTTTTCCTGTCTGTTCTAAGCTTTCTAAATGAGTCTCTCTGTTAGCTAATTTTGGGGCTCCCGGGTGACCCTGATGGTCAGTGCAAGAGAGGATGGGGAGCCAAGGTTGGACCTAAGTAAGGACCAGAGACAGCTCCTCTCCTGATTCCAGAAGGAAATTTATTATTCTTCTAACACTAAGGACCACTTGGGGCTCCTGGCTGTTGTTCTGATGTTATCAGACCCTATGAGGAGGGTTCCAGGCTGCTTCAATCCCATGTGAGAGATCTAATAGGAAATGCTCAACCTACAAGGACACTCACATTCCCAGGAGATCATTTCTGCGCCTCAGTTTACCCTCCGTCCTAGTGTCTTAGTACTCTCCTGATGTGTGGGAATCTCAAAAAATGATGTTCCTGAACACTGGGCAACATACATTTATAGCAGTAGTTTTCCAGTAGTATGGTTTATTGTATTTATAGAATATGCTTTAGATTTAGTCCTCTGAATGTGTTTCCAGATTCTTTGAATCAATATCCTCAAAATGTTATTCTTCGTGTGTTCACAATGTTACTTATGTGGTTTGGAAGAAACACCCTAAGGCCAAAGCCAAAAGTGAAATACTTAGCCCATATCTGAGGAGGGTTTTTGTTTGTTTTCTAAGAAACAAAAACTTTATTTTAAAATAATTTTGGATATATGGAAGACTTAATACCATTGTTCCCCTCCCGTTTTCCCTGGTTATTACTGTCTCACATCTTCACTCCAGGAGCTAAGAGATGAGTCGAGTGAAGCCCCAAGGGCACAGCATTGAAGGGAACACTTTCTCAGTGGTGATGTTGCACTTGCATGCCCCAGAAGGAAATGCCTGTCTCAATTCTGTGCCTGAGGAGCCTCATTTGCACCACCCTAGTCCTGTCCCTCAGCATAACCCATGGTCAGGTCTCAAAACTAAGGCATGAATGTTTACATTATACTTCTTTTTAAAAAAATCAATTTTTTTAAAGATTTATATTATTTTTGTTGCAAAGTAAACATACAGAGGAGAAAAGAGAGAGGAAGATCTTCTGTCTAATGATTCACTCCCAAAGTGACCATTTGGGAGCAGGGTCCCAAGGTTTTGGGCCTTCCTTGACTGCCTTTCCAGGCTACAAGCAAGGAGCTGGATAGGCAGCAGGGCTGTCAGGATTAGAACCGGCGCCCATATGGGACCAAGGAGCATTCAAGGCACGGACTTCAGCCGCTAGGCCATCACACTGGGCCCTAGAGCTAGTCACATTCTATCAAATCTGTCTATGTTCTGGCTCCTGCATTTCATTCGGTGACCATTTCTTGTTAGTCTTCATTGCCAGTAGGAGACAGTTTCCTGTTGTCTTAAACAGATTTTCTGTGGGACTAGCTCCTACTAGTCAGGTAAAAATGCTTCACTATGAATTTGTGTTAAATGTCTGTCAGAATGTATAAGTGGAGTTTCTTTGATACACAGAAGAAATGCAGCATTGTGGACTTCACAGTGACTTTTTTGCTTTAATGAAAAGCCTGTGTTTGGTTTATTTATTTACTTATTTATTTTAAAGTATCATTTTATTTTCATTTGAAAGGCAGGTTTACAGAGAAAGAGAGAGACAGAGAAAGGTCTTCCGTCTGCTGATTAAATCCCCAAATGGTCACAATGGCCGGAGCTGGGCCAGTCTGAAGCTCGGTCTCCCATGCGGGTGCAAGGTGCCAAGGTCCTGGGCCTTCCTCCACTGCTTTCTAGCAGGGAGCTGGAAGGGAAGTGGAGCAGCTAGGATATGAACTGGTGCGCATATGGGATCCTGGCTCATTCAAGTATGCTACTGCTGCCTCTAAGTGATTATGTTTATTTCTTCATATTCTTTATATAAATTAAATCAAAACAAAAAGAGAGTTGGCATTTAGTCTGGTGGTTAGGGCCCCTGTTCCCACGCTGCGGTTAGGTTAGTGCCTGGTTCTGGCTTCTCACTCTAGTTTCCTGCCAGTACATACATGAGAAGTAATGATGCCTCAAGTAATTGGCTTCTTATCATCCACATGGAGATCTGGGCTTCTGGCTCCCTGCTTTGCAGGCCAACCCCAGCCAATGCAGGCATTTGGAGGAACTCTTTCTTCCTATCTCCTGTCTCTCCTTTTCTGCTTATCACATAAAAAATAAACTAGTAAATACATTTTAAAAGATGTATATGTATATATTTGAGAAGCAGACTTACAGAGCTAGTTGGGGAGGCAAGGGAGAGAGCTCTTGCATTTGCTGATTCACTTCCCAAATGGCCACAACAGCCAAGACTTGGCCCCAGCAAAATGTGGGGCCCAGAGCTTCCTCTGACTCTGCCATCTGAGTGCCCAAGCACTCGGATCATCTGCTGCTTTCTCAGGTGCTTTGGCAGGGAGCGGAGTCAGAATTGGAGCAGCCAGGGCTCAAAGCTGCATCTGCATGGGATGCTGGGCTTGCAAGCAGCTGCTTTCCCTGCTCTACACAGGCTGGCCCCACAACCACTTAGAAACCAAAATAAAAACTTTCAAACTTTAATTATGCTTGTTTTTTTTTTCAGAAAACATTTATTTTCCATGGTCTATTGCCAAGATGTATAGCTCTGCACTGTGCCAAGGAAGTCAGATCCAGTACCTGAGAAAAAGCAGGGCCCACTTCTTTTAGAGTATAAAGCTATACATGTGACAAGGAAAAGCAGCCTGACCTAGTTCTCTTTATTGTGATTTGTGTAATCTGTACAAAAGAACGCATATAAACATGAGGGTCCTTCTGGAAGTTCATGGCAAATGGAATTAGAAGATCAGTTATTTTACTGCAAAAAATTTTGAAATCTTTAAGGAGGAATCTTCAAAAAGTTCATGAAAATGCATACTGTGAAAAAAACACACAAAAAATGGATAAGCTATGTTTAAACATACAAACTTTGAGGTAACTATGTAAGTCATGGTAATATATGCTTGTAAGTTTGCAAACATTCTAATTATCTTAGTGACAACAGTTGTTATGGACAACATTTAATAATGAATTTCTCAAGAGAAAAAAGAAATAATTTGTTAAATTGTATTTTATTCATACATTTACAATTATTTGAAAGGGAAGGACAGCATTGTACTATAGCAGGTTAAGCCACTGCCTGCAATATTAGCATATGTCATCCATTTGAGTCTTGGTTGCTTCATTTCTGACCCAGCTCCCTGTTAGTATGCCTGGGAAGGCAGCAGATTATGATCCAGATGGGAGACCCAGATAGAATTCTAGGCTCCTGGCTTTAGCCTGTCCCAGCCCCCAAACCGTGACGGCTCTCTCTCCCTCTCTGTCTCTCTCTCAGTGTCATCCTCTCTGTGTAACTCTGCCTTTCAAATAAGTAAATAAATAATATTTTTAGAAACATTTGGGAAGAAGTTGGCAGGGGAGGGAAGAGCCAAGCCATTGCATAAATTATACTTCTATTCTTTTAAATTTTACTTCTATGTACTTTGCTTCTTTTAGCCTGGTGGGTCTTTATTCATTACTACAATTAACAAAACACAGCTGTCCTATGCTTTGGGAATTGTTTTTTCGGAGCAAATCGCTGGCATTGTACCAAAAGGTACTCACACATGGGAGAAGTTTGTGTCACCTGAAAAGCTAGAAAGCATTCTGGAATCAAGTAAGTATTACCAATTTTTCCATTTTTTTCCGGGCCTAATAGAATATTTAATTCACTTAACTAAATGGACTGCTGCTATTTGGGTCATACTGCCATCGCATTTATGTCATAAATTTCTTGAAGTTAAGAATAATTAGTATATACACATATATCTCACCTGTACACCTTAACTCATACAAGTCCAAATGCTTGTTACTTACACATTCCCAGCTGTCCCACTGAGTGCTGCCTGTGTCAGCTTCTCTCAGATTTCTTCCTACCTTTATCTTTCCTTCCTTCCTTTATTTTCTTTCCTTCCTTCCTTTTTTTTTAATCTTTATTATATTTTTGACATTCTTTACATAGTTAATTAGTGTAAAAAGGTTCAAGGGCTATAGGAAAATGTGTAAGACTATTATTTCCATATTGTTTCCTTCATGTTTAAAGGGGGGTATTAAGGCAGAAGGCCCACCCAATTTCCCACCCTCCCCAGGTCCTGAATGTAGGGCATGCTCCGAGGTTCTTGCTCAAGTGGTTTTGATAGTTCACTAGTTATGAATCACTGCCTATCTTGCCACTCCAAGCACGATGAGGTCTTTGCAGAATCCACTGATAGACATAGTCCATCATACAGTCTCCATTTGCCCCGTATTTCGCTGCCAACATATAGCTGAGGTGGTTGATTGACCCGTTCTGTCTTCTCTCTTTTCTTGGTTAGGGTTCCGAGTCCAGCATTTTGATTGGGGAGATCTCCAAAGAAACTGTCTGAGGTGTTCTCAGACCAGATTCTTGTATGTACTAGCAAATACAGGGCATGGCACAGTCCATCGCCCTGATCAGCTGGTGGTTGTAATTGCTGGGTTGGTTCCGTTTCCAGCCCTGTCTTCCACTGGAACCAATGGGTGTTACAATCCTGCCTGGTTCTGCCTGGCACATACTCGGCCCTTGCATAAACAAGTGGGAGCTGCAGCCTAATTGGAGCGACCCGCAATAACCCCCACCAGGCCCACTCCCTACCCTTGTTTTCCAGTATGTGTAGCAGTAGTCCAATCTGTCCCACATCCCAGTCGGCTCTCATACATGTCAATGGGTATTAAAGCTTAGTTCCATCAAACCAGCTCCACTATGCAGCCCACACAGATGCTGTTGGGTGTCTGTTTAGCCACCCCAGCCCGTCCTAGTTTTTGTGCTCTCCCTTGGAAGTAGTAACCCAAGAGGGAAGAGCCCACTATTTCCCTCCCAGGCTTAACCCACTCCCGGATTATGCATTCTCCAGGTAGTTCTGTGGTTTGACTTGACAGAATTAGACCCCAGTGCCAGCTTCTGCCAGCTGATGCTGCAGCTAAGCCCAAACAACCCTCACCCACTCTAATCTATGCTTGCACCAGTAGGAATAATCAGCCCAGTCTGGCTTTTCCCTGATCTAGTCCACATGAGGCGCACAGGTGTTGTAGCCCTGCCTGGTCTGGTCTGCCCCCATCCCAGCTCATGCTCTCCAGTGGGAGTAGCTATCCAGCAAAGGAACCCCTCATATTCCCTCTGCTGGCTCTGCCCCCTCCCTTCCTGGTTCTCACATGTGCTGGTTGGGCACTGTAGTCACATCTGGTACAGGCAACCTCACCTTGGCATTGTGTATTGTTCACTGGTTTTTGTTGCAACCAAACCCGGCTCAACCCACACTGTTCTAGTGCTCGGATTTGCCAGTGGATGATGTGAACTGATTCAGCCTGGTCGGCCCCTGACCCATGCCAAATGTATGCCAGTGGGAAACTTTCCATGGCCTGTTCTGGGCTGTTTCCTATCATGTTTCTTGCGCTTACCTGCCAAGTCTGTGTCCTGCCAGAGGAGTTGCCTAGGCTCCTCCATCAGAACCTCTCCCAATGCCAGATTTTGTACAAACCAGGGGGTCCATGAGCCAGCCCTACTCAATTCACCTCCTGTCCTAGCAGGAACAGTGGCTTTTCCTGACTGGCCTTCAACCCAAACTGTCCTTGCTGTTGGATGTTTCAGCCCAGCCATGGCTTGTCCATACCCACATATGGCTCACACATGACTCAGTAGGTGTTGAGACCTTGCCTAATCCATCGCACATCTACCCTGGTCCTCCAGGACACCAGAGGGTGTTGGGGTCTGGCCCAGCTCGGTGCATCCAATCCCAGTCCATACTTGTGCCAAGGGAGACTACAACCATTTCCTGATCAGAACGCAGCCCCCATTCCAGCCCATGCACCCCTTGGTGGGAACCTCAACCCAGCTAGGGTTGCCCCCTTAGTTCCCCAACTGGGCCTGTTTCCAGCCATAGATCACTTACATGCCAGTGGTTGCTCTGACTCAACTTGGCACAGCCCCTCACCTGTTTCGGTCCCTGCCTTAAATACTGTGGCTTAGTGTTCCTGGCTCATGCAGAACAGTAGGTACAAGAGCCTAGCTCGGCATGACCTGTGTTCCATCCTGGTCTCTAGTTTTGCCTGTGGGCTAAGGTTTGCTCAGTCCTGCCTGATCTACCCTTTTCCATTACCAATTGACACATTTGCCAGCTGTTGGAGCTACTTTGCTCAGCTTATCCGACCCCCAGGTCTGGACCACATGTTCACCAATGGGAGCTATGACTAGCCAAGGGAAGTTTCCCAAATTCCTCCACTTAATCCACTCCCAGACCCAGTTCTCATACATGCCATTGAGTTTTAGGCCAAGTTCTGGTGAAGTCTGGCCTTCCATTTGGCCTTGTATGAGCTGGTGAATGTTGCAGCCCAGCCCACCCCACACCCTATTCAGGTTGCATATTTAGGTGCTGCTGCCTTGAAAAGTCCAGACTGTTGTGGGTTCCTTTACCTGTGATTGACACCTAGCTTAGTCCACCACCACCCCAACTCTTGAGCTTACCAGTGGGGCTAGAATTTCCACAGGGTTTGGCCCACACATCCCCCACAGAATCTACCCCCGGATATGGTCTCGAGTGCTAGTTAATGTAATGGCCCTGCTTAATGTGATGCTTTTCCTGATCCATCATCATGTCAGGTAACAGGTATGATTCTACTGGACAAGCCCTGAGCCATAGCTTTTGCATGGACTGGTATTTGGTGGTCAGCATTGTTCAGTGATTACAAGTTCTTTGAAGGAAGAGTTACTGTCATTGGGAATCTTTAGGATTGGTTCACGTCCTAGAAGTGGGTTCAACCTGGAGCTACCCAAGCAGCAATTCAAAGAACCAAAACCCCAGAGGTCCAGGTTAGGCAGCCAGCAGGCAGAGCCTGGCACCAAATGGAGCCCAGGCAGGCTCGGGGACAGCTCACCACATGCACATGGTGGCTGGCCTGTGGGATCCAGGCATGAGATGCCCCATCCTGGGACCCACCAGCAGCTGGAAGGCCCAAGGTCGTGCCCTTCCCAGATCCCATTCACCACCCAATGAGGGCGGCAGGTGGGCCCTGGACCTGCCCATTCATGGAAACCTCTCCTTCGGTGTACTCACCCCGAAGGGAGCAGCCCCCGGAGCCCAGGCAGGCCTGGGACAGCTTACCACGTATACGTGGTGGCTGTCGTCTGGGATCCTGGCATGAGATGCCTCGTCCTGAGACCCATTTTTCTTCCTCTTTTTCCTCTTTCTTCTTTTCTTTTTTATTCTTCTACATTCACATATAATCTGAGTTTCTATGACACTTTTAGTATGTTTTATATTACTTACAACACACTATGTATTATTACCTTGGTGTTTTTCCCGGTCTACAAGTTCCTTTAATGCAAGAATATGTCTCCTTTTGTTCTTCATACAATATGCCTAGTTCTACTTACCTAGTGAGCACTTGATTCATGAGTCGAAATGCCTGTCAGTAGTGACATGTGTTGGCATTTGGCATTCCTGCTGGGTATTTGAACTCATGTTTTTCTAATCCTATTGTTAATGTAACTGCACTGGTAACATGCTTTTACTTACAATATTATATAGCAACACAGTAAGTTCTATAACTTTCATAACTTTAGTGCATATAGAAATGAAATAAATATGTTAAATATGTTAAAGATGTTTTATGGGAGCAGACTTATTGGAAGTATTTTCAGATAACAGCTAGCATTTGTTGAGTGCTTCAAAAATCCCATGTTACTGTACTGTTTTAAACACCTATCTAATTCCAGCAGTTCTGTAGCATATGCTGTGTATGTGTGAGAAAAACTGAGACTCAGAAAGGGGGATTTGCCCAGACTCACCATCTCATGGGGCCCTGGGCTGGCATTTGGACTTAGGCAGTCTCTCTAGAGTATGTTTTCTACTCTGCAGGAAAAGATGGTTTCTGTGTCGCTACATGGTATTGTTGCATTAGGAAATCTCTTTAATATGGAGCATTGCAGGAGACTCTTGGGACTTGAGAGTGAATGTTTATCAAATCTTTTTTTTTTTTTCAGATGGTCTGTCAGTTCAGAAGGTGACAGGAATGCTCTATAACCCCTTCTCAGGTTACTGGCATTGGAGTGAAAATACCAGTCTTAATTATGCAGCTCATGCTCTGAAAGCCAGGGTACAGGAAGCTGCAGAGCCTGCTGAGTTTGTGTTAAAAGAAGAGGCAGAAGAGCTCCACGCTGAGCCTGAAGAGTTGAAGAAATGAATCCTTTCTGACAAGTGCAGTAATGGGATTTGAAAATTCCAAGATATAGAAAGTATATAGTTTGTCTTTTAAGAGAGAATCATGAAAAAGAGACAGTCAATAAAAAGGACTGTATTGTTGAATACAGGTTTTTGTTATTTTGTTTAAAACCACTTTAAAAAGATTATTCTATGATTTTGTCAGGGTTTTGTGATCCAGAAGTTTATGTTCCTAAGCCTTTATTATATAAAGATAGTGTGCATATTTCATCTCATCTTCTACATTATTTTTCCCCAAATTTAAATAAATATTTTACAGAATAGTATGTTTATCTGAAAGGTACCATTAAGAGAGAGGTGGGAAAAGTGGGACTGGGCCAGGGAGCAGGTTGGAAAGTAAAAGAGACATGTTCCATTCATTCACTGTTCCCTTCTCAAATGACCACAACCACTGGGGCTGGGCCAAGTCAATGCCAGGAGCCAGGAACTTCTGCCAGGTCTCCCGGAGGCCCAAGCTCTTGGGCCATCATCTTTTTTTTTTTTTTTTTTTTTTAAGATTTATTTATTTATTGGAAAGTCAGATATACAGAGAGGAGGAGAGACAGAAAGCAAGATCTTCTGTCCGATGATTCATTCCCCAAGTGAGCTGCAACGGCCGATGCTATGCTGATCCGAAGCCAGGATCCAGGATCTTCTTCCGGGTCTCCCACACGGGTGCAGGGTCCCAAAGCTTTGGGCCATTCGGGACTGCTTTCCCCGGCCACAAGCAGGGAGCTGGATGGGAAGCAGGGGTGTCGGGATTAGAACCAGCGCCCATATGGGATCCTGGTGCGTTCAAGGCGAGAACTTTAGCCACTAGGCCATGCTGCCAGGCCCTGTGTGTTTTAAGATGGTGGCTCTGCCATTTTTAAAAATTTTTGATTATGATATATGGTTGAGAAGGATGCATTCCCATGTGGACCACTGATTAGGGTGGGAAGGGTCCAAGGAAAAGAGCTAAGTGGATGAGACCATTGTTTCCAATTTTCTTTTTCTTCTCTCTGTATCTGGAGGAAGGGGAGATAAGGGGAGAAGCTATATCCAGTGTCCTAACTGCATCAGCACCCAGGGACGGGGAACGGCCAACTGATGTCATCCCAGGGTCTCTGAGGTGGAGCATGTTGTGACAGTACTGCTCAAGTATTTTTGGTAGCTCTGAAATGCTATTGATTTCATAGTTGAGGAAATCCTTCCAAGGCCTATTGGCTGACATAGGCCACCTTAGATTCTCCATTGGCCCAGATACTTGCTGTCAATGCTTGGCTGAGAGAATTGTTCAATTTATTCTGTCCTCCATGGTATCAGATGTCCTCTGTAGACCTCAGTGAACTGGCTGTCGTGTCCCCCATGTGCATCTGGGCATGCCATCCACTGTACCATCTTCAGGAACTGAGGAGGCCCAGTTCTGACACATGCACTCCAATATCAGACTACAGATCCCATGATTCTCCTCGTGGTTGGACTTCTGAGCCCACCTGTTCAATTTTGGACATCAACAGAGAAACCTTGCTAGAGGTGACCACAGACACAATCCCTGTGTGAGCCAACCAGCTTGAGGTCTGACTCAGCCTGTCACCCACTTCAACCCACACACACCACTGGTTGTAGTTGCCTGGTCAGTTCTGTCTCCGGCCCCACCTTATACACAGAACAGTGGATGCTATGGCCCAGCTCAACCCTACCCACCACATACTCAGTCCTCATATACACCAGAGGGAACTGCAGCCCAGTTGAAGTGATCCCCAATAACCCCCACCAGGCCCACCCCCAGCTCTATTCCTGCTCATGCCAGTATCTGCAGCAGCAGACTGGTTTAGTCTTTCCCACATCTTATTCGGCTCTTTCTTTTAAATTGGAAATTTTGATATACAGAGAGGAGGAGAGACAGGAAGATCTTCCATCTGATGATTCACTACCCAAGCGGCCACAACAGCTGGAGCTGAGCCGATCCAAAGCCAGGTGCCCAGAGCCTCCTCCAGGCCTCCCTCATGGGTGCAGGTTCCCAAGGCTTTAGGCCATCCTTGACTACTTTCCCAGGCCACAAACAGGGAGCTGGATGGGAAGTGGGATCGCCGGAATTAGAACCAGCGCCCATTTGGGATCCTGGTGCATGCAAGGTGAGAACTTTAGCTGCTAGGCCACGCCACCGGGCCCCATGTACAGGTTTAGCCACAGGGCCCCATGTACAGGTTTAGCCACCAGGCTACTGCACTAGGCCCACATTTGGTATTTGTATACACCAATAAGTAATGCAGCCTAGCTCAGCACGACCTATCCCACTATCCAGCCTACACTTATGTCAGCTGGTTCTATCACCAGTCCAACCAGGTCCACTGCCAGCCCTGGTTCTCATGCTCACTGGTGAGAACTGCAGCCCATCAGAGAGATGCTCACAGTTTCCCTACTAAGTCCACTCCTAGTCTGGGGTCTTGCACTTTCCAGGTGGTTTTGCAGTCTTGCTTGACAGGATTTACCTCCATTCTTGGGATATGCTAGTTGATGTTGTGGCAAAGCCCGACCAACCTGCACCTACCCCGGCTCATGTAAGCATCAGTGGACATAGTTGTTGCCCAGCCTGGCTCTCTCCCTAGCACAGCTCACATGCAGGCCAATATGTATTGTAGTCTTGCCTCGCCTGATCTGCCCCCAGTCCCAGTTCTCATGCTCACCAGCAGGAGCAGTAGCCCGCAGGGCAGTTCTCAATAGCGTCTACCAGGTTTGCATCCATAACCCCCTGGGTCTTACATGTGCTGATGGGTGCTGCAGCCCGGTCTGGGGTGGCCTGCCTGAGCTCAGCATTTGTCAGAGGGTGCTGTAGCCCAGCCTGACCTTGCCTGCTCCCAGTTTCAGCTCATGCTGGTGATGCTACAGCCTAGCCCAGCCTGGACTGTCTTGTGCCATATTCTAATGCTTTCCCAGGCACATTAGCAGGGAGCTGCATTGGATGTGGAGCTTCTGGGACTCAAAATTTAAGGAATCTGTATCATCTGTGTTTCTCTTTATGTGGTTTTAGTTATATGCTTCTGCCTCATGAAAACCAAATATAATTTGTGTTAATTATATTTAGGAAGATAATATATATTTTTGTTTAAATTTTACTTGATTGTGCTGAATTTGGCTTCAAACATTAAGGTTAAGAAGTTCTGATTATGTTAGTTGAACTTCTGTACATAACCTCTTAACTGTTTTATGGTGTGTTCAAAATTAAAACAATATATTTTTTAAAGATTTATTTTTTTTAATCAGAATTTCACACTTTTAGAAGGAAAGAGAGCAAGAAAGATCTATCCTCTGGTTCATTCTCCAAATGGGCACAGTGGCCAGAGCTGAGCCATCCTAAGCCAGCAGCCAGGAGATTCTTCTGGGTCTCCCATGCAGTTACAGGGTCTCCATGCTTTGGTTCACCCTCTACTTCTTTCCCAGGGAACAAGCAGGGAAGTGGAAGGGCGATGGAACAGGCTGGGACATGAATCAGCGCTCATATGGGATTCCAGTGTGTACAAGGTGAGGACTTTAGTTACTAGGCCATCTTGCTGGGTCCTCTGGTATATTTTTTAAAAAATATTTTATTGAAAAGTTTAATTGCAGGAACTAGTTGCTCACAATGCTGGCATCCTATTTGTGTGTACCAATTTGAGTCCAAAGTGGTTCACTTTCATGCCTGCTTCTTGCAAATGCACCTGGGAAGGCAATGGAAGATGGCCCAAGTACTTGAGTCTCTGCAAGGCAGCTGTGAATCCCAAGATGGATTTCTAGGCTCCTGGTTTCACCTAGCTCAGCCCCTGGCATTACAGCCATTTGGGGAATGAAGAGTGGATAGAAGATCCCTTTCTCTCATGCTGCCTTGTGAATATATACGTAATTTTTGAAAAATCAGTTATGAAAGCTTCCCTTTTTGTGCCCCAAAGATTTATCTATCTATTTTTAGAAAGGCAAAGTTGCAGAGAGAGTGATGGGGAGAGAGAGAGAGATGTTCCATCCACTGGTTCAGTCTCCACATGGTCATAGGAAAGCTGGGAACTGAACAAGAACCTCCTTTGGGTCTCCCGCATGGGTGTTGGAGCCCAAGCACTTGAACTATCTTCTACTCTTTCCCAAGCATGTTAGCAAGTAGAGCAGCCAGAATTTGAATGAGTACCCACCCATATTGGATGCTGGTGCTGCAACACTGGCCTCAGAAATTTCTTTTAAGAAAATTATTTGTGAGAGAGAGAGCTCCCTTCCAGCGGTTCACTCCTCAAATGCCCTCCAACAGCTGGAATTGGGCCTAAAGCCAGGAGGAACCAAGAAGTCAGTTCATGTCTCCCACATAGGTAACAGTGACTCATCTGCCTGAACCATCACCGGATGCTTTCCAAGGTGGGCATTAGCAGGAAGCTGGAACCAAAAGTGGAGCCAACACTTAAAACAAGGCACTCTGATTTGAGATGCTGGCATTACAAGTTGCATCTTAAACCACTGAGCCAAATGCCTACTCCTAGAAGTTTCCATTTTGGGTAGGATTTCTAATATTAGAGACTAATTTAAAAGATCTCTCTATATGTCTTTCCATTTATCTATCTACAATTATTATCAGGAACAAAGTGACAAAACTCCCATCCAGTGCTTCATTCCCCAAATTCCTGTAACAGCTCTGGCTGGGACACAGCCAAAACCAGAATCTAGAGATCTGTCCAGATTGCCCATAAGGGTTGCAGGAACCCAGTTGCTGAGCCATTACCGTTGCCTCCTAGGCCCGTGTTGGCAAGAAGTTATAATCAGGAATTGGAGCCAGAGATTCAAGCTAGACACTCCGAAGTGGAACATAGCTGTCCAACTGCTAAACTTATTGCCTGTTCCAGAAATATGTATTTTAAACCACTTAAATTATGTGCATCTATAGCTTTTTCTGAAAGCCTAGGTGTTATGTAATTTGTACAGAACTGGTGTTGACTGTGACTACATGGATTGAAATTATGTGTCCTCTGTGGAAGGTCAGCTTTTACTTCCTAGCCTTTTTACATTTCAGCTTGTATGGTTTCTATATTCCTTCATCTGTTGCATTTGGGTTCTTCTGTCAGCCATTTCCCCATCATGTTAGCTTATTTGTTCTTAGGAGAGGA